ATGTTAATAGATTTTTCTATTTTTAAACAATTTTATATTTCTGGGATTATTCAGTTTCAAAGGGGAAAGCTTCCCTTGGAGATTTGCTGGTAAAGTAAAAGAAAAATCAAAGTACTGCAGCTAAGATTCTACAGAAGCAGAATAGTATCATAAAATCATAAGATAGGGGGCCGGAGATTTAGCTCAGTGGTTTCGCTGCCTGCTGCTCAAGTTCAAGGACCTGAGTTCGATCCTCCGTACCAAAAAAAACACAAAAACAATCAGAAGATAGGACATCTTTCAAGATTTCATTTACAAAGAAAATGCACATTGGTCTATCAAACAGAAAGGTGTGCTCTTGAACTATACCTGAATTGGATATAGTAATGAGTTCATCTCTTCATATTCTCAGCTTTGCTCCCCAACCCTTGGCTGTTGCTTTACCCGAGCTTTTGCAGAGTTAATTTCATATAGTACTGCTTCCTGAAGTTGAATGGCTATGCCTAGAGTCTCTGGCTCCTCTTATGAATTCCAGATTCTGAGGATGTGCCATAACATAGGACCTTCGATCTGGCTTCTCTAGCAAGATAAAAGAAAATTTTCTTCCCTTTTACTGAGTAATGGGAGTCCCTATTCTGAGCTAGTTTATTTTTTCTTACTTGTTCGTTTGTTGTTTAACATAAACTGTTTAAAAACATGCTACAAGTTTCATATCAATGAAACAACTGCTAAATGACTAGATATATCTCTTCTGCTTCTCCATATGAAGAAGTGGTTAGTGGGATAATGAATCATCTTACTTCTTGTTCTTTATTTCCCTTTCCCTTATTATTATAACCCTGAGATTGTACTGTTTCATAAAACATTAGCACTTACCTTGACACAGGATTTTTTCTATAGAACTGGATTTAAATAATATATATCACAGTTGTTCTAGATCAGGAATTAGACTACAGGCCATGAGCCAAATCAGGCCTGCTGTCTGTTTTTATAAAATGTTTTATTGGAACACAGCCATGTTCATTCCTTAACATACTGTTTGGGGGTGCTTTCTTTCTATAACAGCAAAGCAGAGCATTTGTAACAGAGATTCTGTGGCTTTCAAAGCCTGAAATATTTACTATATGCCTCTCTAAATGAAATATTTGCTGACTCCTAGACAATAAACCCCAGCATGGGATTTTGGAGTTGGATTGTCTCCTTTCTAAAATCAAAGAATCTGTTGAAGGTGCCATGTGGGGAGGTATTAAACCTTGCCATACAGTCACATCCCAATTACTTGGACATCCTTTTATGATTAATTGGGATAACAGGCTGCTGGAAAGATAAGACAATGAGAGGTGCTTAATTTATATGGGGCAATGATAAGTATAATGATGATGGTAAAAATAGCTTCATTTGGTGGCATTTGCATTATTCTGTTACATAAATGATTACAAATTTAGCTGAAAACAAGTTTATTACAATTTTGTAGGCTAGAAGTGTAACACAGGTTTCACTGAACTAAAATCGAGGCATTAGCAATTTTGCATTTCTTTAGGTAACTAAAGAGTCTGATTTCTGGCCTTTTCGGGGTCTGTACACATTCTTCAGATTGTAGCTTCCTTTCTCCAGCTTGAATCCCAACAATGTAGCATCTGCCTTTGTCCATCATTACATCTTGTTCTGACCACATGTGGGAAATATTTTCCACTCTGAAGGACTCAGGTGATTGGTTTTTATCCACTTAGGTAACCCAGGATAATCCCTTTACATCAAGCTCTAATCCTTAAATATATGTGAAAAGTCTTTTTCTCATATAAAAAAATTTGTGTGGTGTTGGGGATCAAACCCAGAGCTGTATTCATCATAAGCACACACTCTACAACTGAACTGTACCCACAGCCCATTTGGAATAGTATATTTGAAAATTTTTACTGTGAAGGATTACTGTGTTGGCCTTTTTGGAAGTTCTTTTTCTGTTGAAGTCATACTGATATAGGGGGAAGAGATATAACCCCCAAACCTGCTAGATAATCCAAAATGCGAGTTCCTGTTCTCTAAAATCGAAGAATGAATTCTACGAACAATGGAGGTTAAGAGTAGGAAAAATTTATTGGGAGAAAGCAAGCTTCTGCCTAAGAGAGACAGAAGGGAGACTGGAAAGTGGGTTGCCTGCTCACCCCACTTTTCAAAGATGTTTTATACAGCAAAGCCATGTGGTGAGGTGGGTAGAGAGTGGT